GTTAGGAACGCTGGCCGCCAACCGGCTCAGTTCACACTGCTATCCCGCTACATGCTGTTAGCCCGCCGGAATTCAAACCGCTAGGAAATGTAAAATCATAACGTTTTCCATGGTTGATTCAATTAAAGTATTTAAGTTTAATCCCACTGGCCCCGCAAGCCCGCTCAGGTCGGCGGCGGATGATTCTGAACAAACTGTTAGCCCGCCCACTTCACCTGCTAGGAAATGTATCAGTTAGGCCTTTAAGATGTTGGTTCAATTAAGTTGATGAAAGTTTGTAGCGCCCGCTGGCCCGCCAGCCCGCCCAGTTCACTACTGCTAGCAGCCCGCTTCACTGTCTAGCCCGCCTACTTCACAATGCTAGGAAAATGTATCAATGAGGTTTTAATGTGGTATTCAATTAAGTCATAAAAGTTTAACCCGCTGGGCCCGCGCAAACCCAAGCGCCATTTCACACTGCTATCGAAAAAAAAAAACCGCTACATTGTTAGGCCAGCCCAGTTAAACAAAACTGGCTAGCCGTACAATGTTAAAAACCCACCCCTGTTGTGTATAACTCTGTTATTCATTGGTCCAGAAATGTAATTACTATATTTTAAGCCCGCCCTACTAACCCTATCTTAGCATGCAACGCTCCTGTATCAAATCAGTTAAAAATACAACGATAGTTCAGGCATTAAAGACGTTTATCTTTTTCTCTAAGGGAAAAAATAACAAATCTGGGCGAAAAGGGATAATTAAAAACTTTAAAATTTTCGGGGTTTTTTAATCTATTAGAAAAATTAAATGTTTTTATCATAAATATTTTGAAAAATTCGGGATTTAATTTATAAAGTGAAAAAAATGGCTGCAAAAAATTTGGAAATTTATTCGGGAATTTGTTTGGCAACAAAAATCAGGGAAAATGCTATAAAAAAGAACGTTTAAAAAGGCATTTTTTTAGAAAATGAAAAAAAAGGATGAAAAAAAAGTTCCAGCTTTATTAAACTTTTACTTGGGAAAAGAAAAATTTAAGGGGAAAACTTCGAAATTTGACATCCCCCGGACAAAACCTTCACACAGTATTGAAAAAATTTGTAAAATTTTGGGAAAAAAAACATTTAACCCAAAGCCTTGATTAAAAAAGTTTGAACGTTTAAAGATTTCAAAACGATCCCAAAAAGCGGCGGGTAAAAGTGAAAAATGATTTATGTCTACACTGGGGAAAAATTTGGCAAAAACATTGCGATTTCCCAACCCAAAGCCTAAACGTTTAGGGTTAGGGGAAAAAAACCGTTTATTTTTGGCTTAAAGTGAGCCCCAAAACAGCGTAAACTATTGTCGAGGGGAAGATTTAATTTTAAAAAGGCTGTTTAAAAACAGAGTTGCAAATGGAAACAGCAACAAAAAGGGACGCCCCAGAATTTTTAAAAGTCGTTGCCCGCAAGTGTAAAAAAGGTTGAGAAAAAGGAAACCTTTCGAAAAAGAGTTGAAAAACGGGCCCAAAAAGGGGAAAAAACCGGCGACCGGAAAAAACTGGGCCCGGGAAAAAAAAAAGGGAAAAATGCTTTTACTGTGGAAAAAAGAAAATAAATGCATCTTTCAAATCCGTTTTTAAGAAGGCCCATTTGCCTTTTGCATGTAATGAAAAAGGAAAAAATAAAAAGTTTTGTCTGAAAGAAACGTGCACGAGACGTAAAAATGAAAAAAAGAAAAAAAAAAATCAAAAAAAAAAACGGACGTTCCTGTGATGAGTAAAAACCCGTGCCAAAATTTTCGAGCAGGAAAATCACCATCAAAAATTTTGGGGGGGCCGGATATAGACGACAACCATAAAAAATGGAAGTCGATACGGGCCCTCGGGCTTTTTCTCTAAATGTCAAGAGAAAAATTTTCCGGGAAGTTTTTTGGAAAATTTTAAAACATTGGATAACCCCAACATCAGTGTTAAAAAACATATTTGGTGAAGAAAAAAACAGCAACCCGGGAAAAAAAACCTGGAAAAATGTAAGGAAACAAATGGACAGTAAAAAATCGCTAAAAACTGTGTAATTGTAAATGGGCAACGGCCCCGCATTGTTTTGGACGGGACTGGATAAATGAAATTGTTTTGGACTGGTAAAGTTTTTGAAAAATTGTGAATTAAAATTAAAGATCACTCAAAAAAACACGTAAAACCCGTTTATTATGAAGCGAAAATTGAGTCAGTTTTTTTCCGACGGAAACCCGGGAAAGTTAAAGATTTTAAAAAGAAAAGCTATTTGTAAAAGGAATGTTTTCACCAAAATTTCCCGAAAAGCAAAAGGCCAGTACATTTTTCTTTAAAAAAGCCGAAATAAAAAAGGAAATTAGACATTCTAGAAGAACAGGGCTTTAAATTGGGAAAGTGAATACTCAGAATGGGTTTACACCTTTTGGGGGCCCCGGGGTTGAAAAAAATCTTCGGGGGAGTAAAAAATTTTTGGGGAAAATTTTAAAAGTAAACCGAAAATAAAAGCTTTTAAATGTAGTTTAAAAAACCCACATTCCGAGAAAAAGAGGAAACTTTTTTCCCCAAAATTTGGGGAAAATGGAAAAAAATTTATTAAATTTTGGGTTTACGCCAAGCATATCTTCAATTGGAGTGCGTGACAAAAAAAAAGAAAGGGTTAACGTTTAAACCCACTCAAAAAAGGTTTTATATTTTATAATAAAAAATTGAAAATTAATGGATTTATCATCAGCAATGCAATATGGCAAAAAAAACAATTAAATAAAATTCTTAAAAGGAATCCCAAGGAGAAACAGTGCATTCTCGATGATATGGTCTTTTACAGGGAAAAAAATGATAAAAGGCTCACTTAAATAACTTAAAAAAACAGTATTTTGGCAACGGTTGTCAAATATGGTTTTAAAAAGTGAAAAAAAGGAAAAATGCCCAGTTTTTAAAAGAGAGGATTACATATTGGGGCCCATGAAATTGGAGGGAAAATGGTCTGGGGAAATGTAATGAAAAAAAGGTTTGGATTCAAAATTATAAATAAAAACCAGTCCAAAAAATGCCACATCTCTAAGGGCATATCTCGGTTTACTAAATTACTTTTCATGGTTCTTAAAAAACCTAGCCACGGAAATTTAAAACCCGTTTAAAATCAACTGCTAAAAAAAAGGGACGTAAGTTTTTTGGACTAAAGGGAAAGTCAAAACGCGTTTGGCGAAAACAAAAAATTTGATTACGGGCAGAAACCCCTCCTTACGCATTAAGATCCGAAATTTTCCCCGTACGGTTAGGCAAAGGATGCTTCCCTGTCGGGATTTCTGCAATATTATCAAATGAATCCCCATGGCAGTGAGAAAACCAATTTTTCATTTGCAAGCCGTTTTGCTATCAAAAGTCTGGGAAAAAATGTAACGGCGCAAAATACAAAGGGAAGCTACTGCAATATACTGGGCAGTAACACAAATATTAAACCGTATCTATTTTTGGTCCCCAAAATTTTACGCTGAAAAAACAGACTGTCAAGCACGTTGTCTATAAAATTTCCCTTTCCCAGCAAGGGCAAACCTGCCCCTTCTGCTGCCGGGGAAAAACAAAGATACGCGGGGTTTTTTTTGTCAGGCTTTTTTATTATATATAAAAATATAAAAAATCTAAGAAAAATACTAAAAAAGTCGATTGGAAAAGTCACGTTTGCCCCCGGGGGGCCATCAAATTAGAAAATGAAAAATAATTTTTTAGGAAGTTTTTTTCAAAGAACAAAATTTTATAAACTTCCCATAACTAGCCGCGCAAATCAAGGGTGAAACGCAAACGAGAACCTATCTTATCGCGTGTTTTAAAGAAAAAAGTAAACCCAAGGGGGGAGTCTGAACTTAAATGACCCCTGTCCTTGAAAGGTTATCACACGCGCCGGAACAAATATAACTATTCAAAGAGGCTGTTTAATGTGGGGAAAATTTGAGATTTGTTATTCCTGAGAAAACTCAGAGGTCAAGTTTTTTAAGATCTTCTGCACTGTAGCCACAGTGGAATAGTTTAAATGAAAAAAATTTAGCGGCGAAGTTATGTCCTGGTGGGCTGGCAAATTTAACTCAGAATTGAAACAATGGTGAGACAATGTCAGGGATGTCAGAATGCGCAGAAAAATGCCAGAAAAAAGTTCAACTTTCACCCATGGGAAAAATGCGCCAGCTCTAAAATTGAACGCGTTCATGTAGACTTTGTAGGTCCATTTCAAGGTCATATTCTGTTCCTAGTAATAGTTTGTGCTCGAAGCAAATGGGCTGAAATAGAGGATAGGGAAAAATTGTACGTCTGCCGAAAAAAAAAGCAATGTATTAAGGGACCAAAATTTTTGTCGTTAAAGGGGAAAACCAAAAAAAATTTGGTAAGCGATAATGGTGTAACAATTTACAAACAGATTTATTTTCGCAAATTTTTGAAAAAAAAACGGTATTTTTTCCAAAATAAGAACCGCAGTTGCTAAAACCCTCCCCCAAAAAGGTTTGGAAACGTTTGAAAAAGGCACTTTTTAAATCAAGAATTTTGAGCCAAAAGAAATTTGATAAAGGGGATCTAAAAACTTAAAATTTCAAAATTTTCCCTTTTTAACAAAAAAATCGCAATTCTGTACAACCCCAAAAAACAAAACAAAGAAAGTCCCGCGAAAGAAAGTTTTATGGGGCAGAAGTTTTGCCGGGAAGCAAGTTAGAATTATTAAAAAAAATATAGACGGGTTTTGTCGAAAAAAAAGAATGAAATGGCAAACATCGGAATCGCGAGAAATTTCCGAGAGGTTTAAAGAAGGAGACTCAATAATAGCGCGAGACAAGCCTATAGGCTACTTCAAAAACCGAAAAATGGTTATCGGGTACAAATTTTATCCCGCGAGGGACCTCTCATATAAAATTGATATCGGTAAATCAATCATTCTGGAGAAAGCATGTTGACCAGCTTACGGAAATCAGAAAAGAATGAATAATGAGCTTTCTCGCCGAGAAAGTTCACCGTTAAACATTGATCCCGTTAAATTTGTTCAGAAATGCCAGTTTATGACCGAGAGGAAATACCCTTTGTTATACCTGGTAATCCTGAGAAAATGCCATCATTAATGGAAAATAAAAAAAAAATCAGATCAAATTTAATTGGAACGAAGATATACCATTGAGAGAAAACGCAAACCACCTAAATCGTTTTCTCATAAATGAAATTGCTACGTAAACTGTATAAAAAATTCGAGAAACGTAAAAGACAAATTAAAGTGCCTTTTCTTAATTTTAACATTACAAAATTCTTTGTTGTAAAAAAAACCTGAATGGGAAATCTTTTGGGAATTTTTAATAAAAGTCAAAGGTGAATTACGAACAATAGGTCGATAAATTTGATCTGGTTTACGAATGAATTAATCTCGTATATTCATGGGTTTTTAAAAATTTTTCTAACCCGTTTGTCTTTTCTTAAATTAAATTTTATTTATTTTTTTTATTTAAATTTTTAAAAGATAAAAGGACAAAATTTTTAAAAAAAAGGGAGAAAATGTTTGTATAACTCTGTTTTTCATTGGTTCCCAAAAAGTATTACTAATAAGCCAAGCCCCTAAATAACCCTAAAACTTAGCTGCCAAAGCTCTGTTTCAAATCAGTTTTTAAAAAACGTAGTTCAGGCTTAGAAACGGTGTTAAATTTTTTCGTTTATTGAACGCTCGCCCTTTTCCCTTTTTGATCTGTTTTATCATATCATATTTTTCCTCTATACGAAAACAAAATAACAACCATTTCAACAACTGCTAGGAAAAAATGTGGCGAGTACTAGTAAAAAGGCACTTTCAGTAAGTTGGCAAAATTTCTGGTTTCTGATACTGCATAAGTGGGCGAGAAAACTGGTTCTGGGTACTGGCATATTTTGGCAAGAACTGGTACTTGCTCAGCATAAAGTTGTCCGAGCAACTTGGTTCTGAATACTGCATAAAAGCTGGCGTGTACTTGTACTGAACTTAAGGACTATATTCCTTATTCTGGTGCAGCTCTGATGAATGTACATTATTTTATTAATATATTTAAAATTGACATACATTTATGCTGTTCCCCAGTGCAAAATTGAAAAATGATAATGTGGGTTTAAACACAAAAACAACTGTTTTTCAACAGAAAAGTTGTTAATTAAACCGTGGGCTAAATAAGAATATTGTCAAACTCACCTTTCCTAATATAATACAGTTACAACCAATCAATATAACATTTCAATTTTCAGGAGGGTTTCATTTTTTACAATTTTAGCTTTTAATGTACATGCGTCTTTCTTTAAATCCTTAAATCACCTGTTTGTGAATTAATTTTGTTTTTCATTTCTAGATACTGTAACACCGATTCTTGCATTTAAGGCAAGATTAAAGTCCAGTACTGCAGTGGTGGGAGGTCAGACCATAGTGCTTCCAGTATTAATCTTCAAGGAAGGAGATGGGTATACCCCAGATACTGGAGAATTTACAGCACCCATCAGTGGGGTGTATATGTTTAGTTTAGCTTTCTGCCTTTACCCAAAGAAGATATTGACTGTTAGTATAATGATTGAAGGAACAAGATATTCAACGTCATTGTTCAGAGGTGATGATAGTAACGGATATTTATCTGCTGATTCAGTTGCCAAAGTGACCGCCGGACAGAAGGTACTGGTCGAGGTTATACCAGGCGGTCATTCTGGCAGCATTATACAACAGGATCAATACCGTTGGAATACATTCTCCGGGACATTAATAAGCAGAAGGATTTAATTCTATGTCAATTTCGTTTCACCTAGTTGTATACCAGTAGTCAGTAGTAAGATGAATATTATTCCGCGAATTTTGATACATTAATGTTTGTAAACGTTGAAATAATTATTTTTGTTAATTTGTTAAAAAAAATATCTACAGAATAATGTCAAGGACTTGGAATTCTGTTTATCTTGCTGGCATACAGAAGGTTTGTTGTTGTAGTTGGAAAGTCACCATATCAGCTCAATAGTGTCGATATGTCTCCTTTGCAATAATAACGCTAATGTTTATATATATGCTCACATGTTAGTGATTCTTAGTTATGTCTTTATATAAATCACAACGTTCAAATAATATTGTCACGTATTGAATTATCTTTTATGAATATTTTTAACCTGATTAAAGACACTATGCCTTATGAAAGTTTTATAAAATTTCATATATTATAGTAAAATTATATTGTTTTCATAATATTATGGTAGATTTTCAAAACAGTTGAAACATACACTGTCCTTGTTATTAAACGATCATCAAAACACGGAGCAAAATATTGTGTTATTTAAAGTAGTGTTTTGACAACGTAGCATGCATAATTTGCAGACATGTTTCTTCATACAGATATTTCGGAAGCATTCGTTATTGGTTAACTGCAGGCTGCAGATACATTAAGAATTTAAGTCATCTATAAAACAATAGGCAATTATTTATATCGTTTTACGAAATTCACACTCAATGATGTTTCTTCATTTATATTAAAAACTTAGTATTAGCACTAGAAAATGGTTGAAACGGGTTTTTTTCTAATTGCCTGAACAATATGTGTAATCGATTTTATAAATCAGGTAACTAATATCGTATTGTTGATCTTTCATAACATTTTATTTCAAAATACCATGTCTAATTTACTTGAGAATATCAAACACTGAATGTGGCAATATCACTCTAGTTAAATTTCATTCACATTTTGGTAAAATTTCAAAATACATATCTTAAAACAGTGACAAAGTCTTACCTGTCATGAATTTAATATATTAAAGTGTATACGGTAACAAATAACATTTGCGTTTTAACGTGAAGTTGATATCTCATGAAATACTTAGATAAATGGAATAGGATGTATATGTGTGTGTCTGCTCCAGCAAAGAAGACGTAAAACGATTCGAGTAAAACATCACACGTCGTCTTAAAATGACATCATGACATTTTGTATATCAGTAGAAGAGTATACATGGTAGCAGGCAACCTTGATTGACTTCGTCATTGTAGGCGGTATACAAATATAACGAAAATCACACATCGTCTATCATAACGCCATTAAGATTCGTACACGTATGTTTGTTTGTTTGTTTCTTTCTTTGTTTTTGGTTTGTTTGTTTGAGCTGAAATCTAAGTCAAAACAACACTGTAATGCTCATATGTTGACTTTCTATCAAGTCGTGGAGGAAAACCTGACCCCACCGTGGATTATTTCGGACACAGCGAGAACCAACGACATTCCGAAATCTAGCACGTGACATTATTCAAGTCCTGGTCAAGATTTAAACACACACTGATTTTGCGTGTGCGTTTATCGCATTCAGAACCATATTTTCATGTTTCTGATCCGGGCATACGAAACTGGAATTTCTTACAAATAAGTAGAATGAATTGTGTTCGAACTCTTCATATAAAAACGCATTAAAAAGAAAATAATTTTCTTGTCATGAAATGATATGTGTATCAAGTTCAACGCATACGAACTTTTAACAGACAATTCAAATTATTAAATATATCATTTTTACATTACATCAGTTGAGTTTATTTTGGCGACACAGTATTTGACGGACCTTCAATGTAATTGTGGTGGCTTTTTGAAAACAATGTTGCAATTTTGAAACAGCAAGTTTCAGTATATCTTTGAGGGAATGATTAATTTAGCATGTCGCTTCCCTAAATCTCTCTTAATAAAATTTCCTTATCGTTTACGATTTTTTCTTTCTTTTTAATACAGACAATCTGTTTTCTGATGATCAACACGAATCTATCAGCAAATAATAAGGTTGGAATGAAACTTCATGTATATATTTTACAATGTGAATTATCTCAGAAGTGTAAGGTTTTAATTTGCTTTGTTGTTGTTTTGTTGGATTGTTACCATTTAATATGTTGAAATAAGTGTGAAGTATTTAACAATTAAAAATATAATGTTTAGAGAATACCAATGCATGATGTATTCAAACTCCTATTCTCTTTAAAAATATATCGCTTCATAATATTTTGTGTCAATTTTTTCTACTTCATTCCCTGGTCTTTTATATAATTAAAGCTATCCAAATAGGTTAAGAATCTCGGTGATTCTACTCGTGTGTCCGTCCGTGCCTGAAGTAATGTCCTGAAAGGCACCTGAGGTTTTACTTCACCAGTAAAGACTGGATTGTCGCCATAAGACCTGTATTTTGACTTAAAACACAACAAAAAAGGTGTATCTGGGTTAGAAGTAAGGTAGGGGCTACTGAAATAGGGCCCATTGAATATCTTCTGTACATCGTACAATATGTTTTGTTTACATTATTCATTGCATTTTGATGTTTTGTCTTTGTTTTTTACTGGTATCCCAAATAAACATATGTCTCCTTCAATATTTTAAATCATTGTGGTAGAACTATTCCTAGGGTCACTGAAACGTTATTAATTGGAATATCTAGAATACTTTTACTTTTGTACCAAATGGGTACATATAGAAATTCGTGCTGCTTAATGTTGCAGAGTTACGATTATAACCAGAGTAGTGTTGATGTTATATAGAGGATATTTGTTTTGTGCAGTGTAAGATCGGGATATATTTCCCCGAGCGTGCACCAAAAGGCATAAGTGAAATATGACATTTTGGTGTTCAAGAGGTGAAATATATTTCGATCTTACTCTAAACTAAACAATTCTTTTATTATATGCAAAGAAACCTTTTAAAAAGACAATTTAACCAAATACTAAATAAATTATTCCAAGCGACGTAGTTTACGAGATTAACAAGATTAAAGTAGGTTTGCTCCAATTACGCACAATCCATCTTTTACTGTATATAAATAAACGAGTAGATACAGTTAATCACACTCATTGGATGATTAAGAGTGACAACTATAAGACATTTGGACTTTTTATTCAGCATCTAGGAGACAAATTATTATGGTCCTTTTTAAACAATTCTTAGTCAATAACTCTACATTTTTGATCCGGCGACAATGGCTGTATTTGGTCTGTTTATCACAAGAAAACAGCTTCTTAATTTAACAAGAGCCAGTGCCGCCTGGGGATTTGTGGCAACGCTCTATTTGTTTTTTAAAGAAACAAATAAACGGTTCAAACAAATCTAAAAAAAATGAAGGAAAAATAAGTTTGTTTTTCCTTTTATTTATTTTAACAGCTTTGTCCTGTCACAATGGATTTTTATACAAGTATGAATCATTTCCATAAATGAATGACAGATTTAAAAAATATAGCCAAAATTCAATCATTTGACGATCAAGTTCTTTTAAAGATCAAGGTCATATTTAAAGTGTTCAGCATGTCCGTTTGGTCACAGGTGCTTTTGATTTGTCCCCGTATGAATCAAATCCGAAAATAAATAACAAAATTAATTATGACAACTTAACCGAAATCTTGACGGTCAAGATCATTAAAACCTTAACGCCAAGGTCAGTCTAATTTTTAAGAAGGTTGTTTTGGCTAAGTATAAAGATAATCGTTTCATAAATTACCAAGCTACAGTCAATTATAGACAAATTCAGTGAAGATTCAATGATTTAACCATTACGGTCTAGGTCTTAAGTGAGCCAATGTATATGAAGGTATTATCTTAGAGAATATTATGGCTTAATAGGGAGGCCATCCATTCATCAATTACAAAGTGACAGCAAAAGAGAAGGAAAATTTCAATATTTTTACCTTCATGGACGAGGTCATTTATGAGTGAGGGTCAAAGTCAGTCTCGTTAATGTAATTTAAAGATGTTGTATTCAAGTTTGAAGACAATTCAATCAAAAGTAACAAAGTTTTAGCCACAAATGGCAGAAGACAAGCAAAATGTAGACATTTGACCCTGACAGTCAAGGTCATTTATGAATAATGGTCATGTTTGATTTGATTAACATGAAGGTCTTGTCCCCAGTGTTTTTTGATGCCAAGTATAAAGACAATACACCAATAAACGAAGAACTTGAAAAGTTATGATTAAGGTAGACCATGGGTAATGCATTACCTCCACTTTGAAGAGTATTCAAATAGGCTAGAATCGCTTGTAAACTACATTGAAATTGAGGGGCGTGGGTTTTAACCCCAGAAGGGGCAACTTTTTTTTTCTTTCTTTTTTTCTTTTTAACATTATTTATGTATCTCTCTGATCCCTTATGGAAGAAAAAAGTTTGATTTAAATGATATAATTATTTTAGGTTTTTTTTGCCAGATAATGGCAAAATTTATAGCAAATATGATACCAGATATTTTCAAAGTATAATAAAATAAAAACTACACGGTAAAAGTATTTTATATTTCGCATGATCAACTAATATACCTTTGAAAAAATTTAGGCAAACTTTGAAAACAGACCCTCATTTTGATAAATTTTAGGAATATTTTGAATAAGGCATTATAGATAGGGAAATGGTAAAATTAGTGTTTAAAGTGGGTGGGGTAGGGTAACATTTTTATACGTTTTAAGAACATTTTGTTTAGAAACAAACATTTTGCTTGTGTAATGTGTTACCTGAATGTTATTATTTGGTTCTTAACAATGAGCAATAGAAAAACATTTTTTATAATGATGATATTACCGATTATTTACAGTTTCTCATTTCTGAAAATAAACCCTTCTAATGGCAAAGTCTTAGTTCAGAAATATATCCATAACTCATAAACCACACGGTAAATTTTATTTAAATTTTGCATACAGGTGACCTTGAAGACATATAACTGTCCTATGTTGTCAATTTTACAGTACCTTATGGTGCCCATTACCAATGGTCTACCTTAAGGTTAAAGGTTTC